CCCCCCCCCCTTCTCTCTCTCTCTGTTATACCTACACACAGGGAAAATCAGCAGCAGGAGACACAAGAAACACACTAGAAATAGAAGAAGAAAGAGGAAAGAAAGCAGTAAGAAAATCCCAGTACGGTGATTCTCTCTATCTCTCTCTCCCTCTCTTATACTTATCGGCATGCTTCCACAACAAACCAAGCCGGAATCCGACCGTCCGGCACTTATTATCCAGCCTTCTTCCCCACGCTTTCCACTCCCCTCGGTTGGAACACCCACCTCTGGGGCCCACCGTAAGATCGCGATCGCAGTTGATCTCAGCGACGAGAGTGCCTTTGCTGTGAAATGGGCCGTCCAGAACTACCTCCGCCCAGGTGATGCCGTGATCCTACTGCACGTTCGGACCACCGGCGTTCTTTATGGTGCTGACTGGGGTTCTATTGACCTGTCCGTCGACACCAACGATGAGTCCCAACAGAAGCTCGAAGATGACTTCGACGCCTTCACCACCACCAAGGTCACCAATCTGGCTCAGCCCCTGGTAGAAGCACGGATTCCTTTTAAGCTTCATATCGTCAAGGACCATGATATGAAGGAGCGGCTTTGCTTGGAGGTCGAGAGGTTAGGGTTGAGTGCCGTGATTATGGGCAGCCGAGGGTTCGGTGCCTCGAAGCGCACCAGCAAGGGACGCCTTGGCAGCGTCAGTGATTATTGCGTGCATCACTGTATCTGTCCCGTGGTCGTCGTTCGGTATCCTGATGAGAAGGATGGAGCTTCTTCTGTAGCCGTCGCAGCTGACCCTGAGGCCGCAGCCAAGGCCGTGGCCGATACGGAGGTAGAGCTTCACTTGGTGCCGGAGGAGGAGCAGGAATATCACGATGCCTCCGACAAACATAAAGGTTAGTCCTTTTCTTCTATTTGTTCATTCATATATCCTATTTACGTTCTTTTGACGATCGCAGCGCTGATATCTATTCGCTTAGGGATTTGGAGCTTCTATTCCGTGGTTCATTCATTTATTCAACCCAATTAAAATAAAGAGCAAGAATACCTCTCTCATAATGGATTGTAATTGGTGCTTGGTGCTTCTATTCGATGGCTTACAAGCTTGTATCTGGTAGACGATAGTTCGTAGTAGGTTTGTCTAGGGGAAATATTTTTACTTGTCCATTATAGGGTATTTTACGTTGGGTTTCTTTGTTTGTTTCCTGATTCAAATAGGGTGTAACGTAATTCTGGGAACACGATTGACTAATTTCCTGTGGCCAGTCTGGTGCCACGCACACGTCACACATGAATCTGCTATAGATTTTGTCTTACTTTTATGGTTATTGTGATAGTAAGTTTCTGTGCAAACATGTTTCCTCTGATAAGACCTGATTTTCTGTTCAGTATTACCTTCCTGGGTGTACTACTCACATGGGAATGCCTGCTCATTATTTTTTATTTCCCGTGTTAACCTCATTAGTCCTGTGGGTTTTGTTATTCATTTTTATTGTGCTGCATTCTTGTCTAGTTGAGCCTAGATGGATGGATTCTGAGATCCAAGTTTTCATCTTGGTACGATTTTGTTTATTATCATTTCTGTTGGTCTTGAATGGTAGGAGCTGTTTAATATTTTTGTATCATTTGGTCTAGTTAACTAAGGATTTTCCTGATTCCTATTAACTTGTTCAATAATGTAAAATAGCATCTATTATTGTTTCAATGTCCAAACCATTGCAATGTTTATATTTAAATTTTTACCATAATGTTGTGAAGTAAATATCCATATACTAATTGTAAAAGAACTTCTAGTTCTTGCTGATCTTTTGTTCCTGTTACTTTGTGACTGGTAGTTAAATAAAATGTTGCCAAATTCATTTAGAATGGCATTTTAGGTATCTGGATTATTTGGACCCCCCAAAGTAACCAAAAGTATATGATGATGACAGAAAAACTCTAAGATGTCACTCCTTGCTTAGCTAAAGAGTGAAAGAAAATTTATAGTTCTTGCTGATCTTTTGTTCCTGTTACTTTGTGACTGGTAGTTAAATAAAATGTTTTCAAATTCATTTAGAATGGCATTTTAGGTATCTGGATTATTTGGACGCCCCAAAGTAACCAAAAGTATATGATGATGACAGAAAACTCTAAGATGTCACATGGGATGTATAGGGTTAATGAACCCAAAGCTGTGCTAGTTTTTATCTCTGTGACATTGTAGGCCATGAGTTCATGCAACATATACATCCAATGCTATAGTATCCATGGATTATCTACTTTATCAGAAAAAGCAAACTAGGGTGAGAGAATCACATTCAAGTCTAGCTCAATTGAAACCAAGGAGTTTTTTCTTCATTGCAATGGACCTTTTGATGAAGAAAGTTCACGAGGATTTGATAATGTTTTCTTTGGAAACATACACATGCATATATCATTTTTGCTTTGATTGTCCTGCTTGGTGGACATTTTGATCTGATGATTATTGTTTTTAGTGCTAGTGGTAATTTTCCACTCAAAACCATTCCTTAATGTCTTATCTATGCTTGTTCTTTTGAGTTTAATCATCTTGTGATATAGTTTGTAGTAGTTAGCATGATTTATTTATTTTTTTTTTTATCAATAGCCAACATTCTATTAAGGCAAAGGCCATTACCAATGCTGGTAATGGCTAAAGATTTCCTCTTCGTGGGTATGATGACTAGAGAGGAGGGAGGTTTCGTGGAGAAAGCGGAGGGAGATTTCATGGAGAAAGTAAAATGGAGGTCAGCTCTGAGGATAGAGGCCAAAGATTTCCTCTTCGAAGAGCTACGGATCAAAGGAAGACTGGGTTTGAAAGTAAGAGAACAAAAGAGAGCCACAATCCTTGTGGAAGGCTCAGAAATGATTGAGTGGGTGAAAGAGTTTGTCTCTGATGCAGCTTCTAAAGGGAAGCAGAAATATTGGAAAGAAAATTTCTCAGGATCGGGTAGTAGGAGGGACCCTTCATTGGTAGCAGATGGGACAAAAGGAAAATGGGAAAGAATGCTAGTGGTTAAAGCTGGAGGGGTGGTGACAAACTGGTGGAAAGTTGCAGAAATGTTGAAGAGCAAGATGGAGCTAAGAAGCACCTTTATTGTGACCCCATTCGATTCTGCTAAGGCAGTGTTGGACCCTCTTGAAAACTAGGTAAATGTTAGAGCACCAAGTATCCGAGATGATCTGGGAACCTTCTCAGTCTTTAAATGGTCGGTTTCATCAAATTCAAAAGTGTTCCCAATGGAAGATAATGTAACTGTTTGAGTGATTGGGTTGACATTCCATCTTTGGAATCAAGAAACAACAAACTCAATTGTGTTGTTGTGTGGAGCTCGCCTTGATGGTCTTTTCTGGGGAGACCTGCGAACTGCAACTATTCTACTAGGTGGTGTAAAACCAGAAGATATACCGAGGAAGGTGAATGTAGCTGTGGAGGGTTTGTTCTTCCCAGTGTGGTTACTATCCTTCATTGAAGCTACCCTTTGGAGAGAAGCAAGGCAGGAGGAAGACGAAGAGGTGGAGTTGTAGCTACGTTGTCACGGGGGTAGTTCTGCAGCGGAAGAAACCCATGCGGTGTCCAAGCCAAGGCAGGCCATGACAAGCCTTTGTGTGATGCGAGGCTAGGAGTTACCCGATGAGGTGGCTCCACCAAGGTCAGTAGCACTGGATCATGACCTCAAGTCGCATGGTCGGGGCACTCGGTTGGCTCTGGCCGGTCCATGGGAGGCGCCTCTTACGTGCTAAAGGGGGGACGACCATGATGAGAGGCGACTAGGCGTCGATGAGAAGGGACTCCTGTATGCCGATGATGTAGGCACATGAGTGCCGATGATGATAGGCAACCTCTTGGGCCGGAACACACCCGTGCGCTATGGGCAACGGGATAGCTCATTTAGCTTGGGCAAGGGGCTGATGGGGTGAAGGGTCATGCTTGAGCCAGGCCCCAATGCCAAGCCTCCCTTGAGTGTTGGTGGCACAGTGTCGGTCCATGCACTGTCCCCATGCATGTTTGCGCCCATGAGGAACCCTGGTAGCCATGCTAGCCATTAACCAAGGCCGCTCCGCAAGGGATGTTGGTCTAGGAGTGCCAAGGTTAGGCACCCAAGGAGGTCGACCACCCCTCCTCAAAGAGTACGTTAAGCTTTTGGTGGTCTGTCTGGAGATGACATCACTTTTCCCAAAAATCTTACAGGCGAAAATGACGATGGTGTCCCTTAACGTAACCCCGCCAAGCGTAGGCAAGGCTAAGCCTGTGTCAGACCGTGACAGGCTTCCCCACTCAATCCATTGTCGTCCTCGACAATGGCTCTTGTGAATGGGTGTCTGTGTCCCGCGCCATCCACTTCTGTGCCAGTTCTTGGGCTCGCCTAGCCAACACGCGTCTCGCCTATATTGTTGTCCATTTATGGGGACGGAACCATTTCACCATGCCGGCTTGCCTGGACTTCACCCCCTATGTTGAGGTTACTCAAACCGCGCAACGGCTATGCCGTTGAAAGTGTGAAAGAAGGGCCCTCGAAGTAATTGGATGTGTGTGCTTCACGGAGGTCCGCCCCATGTATCATCTTTACCTCAAGGCTAGACCGTCTTCTTGGTAGCTTTTCGGTGGTGCTACCGAACATGATGTGATGGGTCTACTCCTACTGTTGGCGTGTGTCCTGGGTGTACCCTTTCATCATGCTGGCCTGTAGACTTCACCTCGCTGTGTTCGGGTTACTCAAACCTAGCCATGGCTTATGCTCTTTTGGCCCTCGAAACTATACTTAACTTCGCTGGTTCGGGCTACATCTTCGCTCCGAGGGGGCCCCAATCTGTTGCTCCCTCAAGGAGATCTGACCGAGTTGTGCGCGAGTGTGGCAACTTTTTCCCATGATGTTGCCAAACATACACCCACCTTGTGTGATGTGTGTTGTCTGCTGTGAATGTTCTGCCTTGTGATGAGCTGAGCATGTCCTCCGATGCATTGCCGGTGTAGGGCCGCCATGCTCCAACGGCCAGTTTTCCCACATTCCTATCATTCCAATATTGTGGCTTCAACCAAGGACCAATCTGATGCAAAATTGTCACTTCAGTGGTATTCCTTGACCAACCGTCGACACCAACCAATTTCGGACTGTTGTCCCCACCTTAGTAGTGCCTCAGACAAAGCTACGGAACAATGGCTCATCCGTCATGAAACCAAGATGTAGGTGCACCGCCCACAACTCACCGAAATGAACAGAAACTGATGTCCGTGAGGAAGCATGGCACTCCTCCACTCAAACCACCACAATATGCCTTTCATTTAATGTCTCATGCGTTTGCCCCCGTATGAGCATAGCAACCAATGCATCTGCCCCCGCAAGGGTGCTGTTTTGGGGTCATTGGAATGGGGACACGATGAATGGCCTCTTACCAGGCCTGATGTGTATGCTTGCTTGCTTATACCCGAGTGAAAGTGCCTAGGGACCGCACCCCACGATGTGCTACTTGTCGTGATGACCGCTTCAACTGGCTCTATGCTGATCTGCTCTAATACCAACTGTGGCAGCAGTTGGCTAGCTTGCTCTGATACCAACTGTCATGGGGGTAGTTCTGCAGCGGAAGAAACCCGTGCGGCGTCCAGGCCAAGGCAGGCCAGGACAAGCCTTTGTGTGATGCGAGGTTAGGAGTTGCCCGATGAGATGGCTCCACCAAGGTTAGTAGCACTGGATCATGACCTCAAGTTGTATGGCCGGGGCACTCGGCTGGCTCTGGCTGGTCCATGGGAGGCGCTTCTTATGTGCTAAAGGGGGGACGACCATGATGAGAGGTGATTGGGCGCCGATGAGAAGGGACTCCTGTATGCCGATGATGTAGGCACATGAGTGCCGATGATGATAGGCAACTGCTTGGGCCGGAACACATCCGTGCGCTATGG